TTTTTGGAGGAGAACCACCGGCAATTGAAGGAAACAAAGGAAATTAAAGTGAACCCAAGCCAATTTAAGGATGAAAAGAGGAATTCATGGCTGTTTCCTTACCTAAAACCGAAGATTCATTCTCACCCAACCAAGAGCAAGTCACGGACAGGGATGGAAGAGCAGAGCAGATCCGGAAATTTCTCTGCAGGGGGGAAGGTTTCTAAGCTCCAAATCGGGTTCTTGAACAAGAAAAGCAAGAAAAAATCAAGTTTCCTCACCGGTTTTTCAAGGGGGAGAGAGTTGGTGGCTTAGGGGGGCTTGTCGGGAGGAAGAGTCGGAGGAGAAGAACAGAGCAGACACGCGGGTCTGATGAGGAAGAAAAGAAAGAAAAAAAGAAAAAGGAAAGCAGCTAATCCTTATCCTAATTTCCTTTCTTTTTTAATCCCTCAAGTTTTGAAAATTTTGCTATTAAGCCCCTCAATAATATTTCTTCACAATTAGGTCCCTGACTCACTTTAATATTTTAGAAATTTCGGGATATTACATCCACCCCTCCTAAAAAAGAGTTTTGTCCCCAAAACTCAAATTGGGGATCATTTCGATTGGCGAATGGTTTCACACAACCCAAGACAAAACAAATGCCCCACTGACTTTCTATGATCAGAACATGACCTACTACGCTTCCGCTGCGCCACTTTGATATCAAACTACAACAATAACAATTCTCAATCTCCACCCTCCCCAATGGCCATTTGGAAAGCGAGAGATAACTTCATGCCTCAACACAAGTAACTAAACTCGAGAGTTATCGGCATGATTATGTAGTGCCCTCGACTCAAATCAAGACTCAGCACTCATCAAACACAGCATGGCAAGGAATCTAATGATGAGTACACTAAAAGATGGAACCCTATCCGAGACGGATAAGCATCACTCGAATATATAGGATCATGAATGGATGAATTCATGTATATGCATGTATGAATGAATGCCTCTGTGCATGCATGTACGAATGCTCATGTGCGCATGCATGCGTGCATGCCCATGTGTGCATGTATGTATGCATGGATATGCTCATGTATGTCTATGTTTGCATTCATGTGTGAATGCCCAAATGAATACTTAAACAAATAGACCCAATGTGGAAGGCCTTATACATCCTGCCACAACCAAAACCAAGCATACTATCACAAGGGACCAAGTTTCAAACATGGTCCTAAAAGCATAGTGAGCAAGATTAATTTCAAAACTTCTCACTATCGATAGATAACAGGTACTAACTGAATT